GGGAACCGGCCAGGCAGGGCCGTGGGGACCAGGCTGTCCCCGGGGCCGAGGGGATTCCGCCCCGAGGGGCTGCAGCTCCCAGTCCGGTTAGAAGCCCCCACGATGCTTTTTTGGGTGCTTTTCTCTCTCCTGTGCCCCATCCCAGGGGGGACATCCCCACGGTGCCAGATCCTGCAGCACCCGCAGCCCTGGTGACCTTGCCACACTGGGGCGACTGTCCCCAGCCTTTCCGGCGCAGGAAGAACCAGGCTGTACAGGACAAACTCGATGCCCAGCTCCAAAACCTCTTGCCATGGTGTAGCCGTGATTCCTAACCTTTGGTATTTTTCAGGTGACATCCCGTGATGGCAGGGGAAGAGCATGCGTTAGCCGTTCTCTTACGAGCACTGCAGGGTCTCGCACCTAAAGACTTTCAGGAGTTTAAGACGAAGTTATCGGATGTTCACGTGGAAGGAGGATGGAATATCCCCAAGGATTCGCTGGTCAAGGCCGCCCACCCTTGCGCACTTGTGCACTGCATGGGCGAGAACTACAGTGAAGACGCCGCGATGGACATAGCGATTGGGTTGTTCGAAGAGATGAACCAGAGAGACCTCGCTGAGAAACTCCTGGATGAGAAGGTGAAAGGTAGGAAGCCGGAGCAAATTTTCCTTTTCTTTCTCTCTTTTTCCCTTGGGTGATCCTGGAGACAGGTAGAAGTTGGTAAGAGCAGGTTTTGGTTTCCTGGGGAGCCTGGAAACACGAAGGCGTCCTTGCTGTGATCCTATTAGTGTGAGGGCTGTAGTGACCTCTCCTCTTGCTGTCCCCACCTACTGCCGGGCTCCCTCTGCTCCCGGAGAAGAGCCTTCAGCTCTCGGCACCGCCTGGCAGGCAGCTGGGCAGATCCTTTCCTCCTGGGATGGGGATTAAGGACATCTCTGCAGAGCTCGCGTTTGGTAGCACTTTGCAGCCAGAGGCATCCCCGGCAGCCCAGGGACGGTGCCTTTGGCCCCAGGGGCACGAGCAGAAGGGGACGGAGGCTGCAGGTGGCCCCAGGCAATTGCATTTGCTCTCGGGGTGGATGAGGATTGCGGGGTGGTTGATGGATCAGGATGATGGGGGGACTCAGGAGAGGAGAAGGACCCCCCCCAACTGACCAGAGGCCCAAAATTCTCGCAGACGGTGTCCTTACTGCCTCTGCCAGACTTAGGAAAGCCCTGAGTGTTGAAACAAGTGTCCCGTTGGTGTGTCGGGAGCGCGGTCGGGCTGGTTAGGAGCTCCATGGGAATCTGGCTGTGCTTGGGACTGACACTGCTTCTCGCCGGCGCAGAGTACAAGCGGAAATACAGAGAGCATGTGGTCCGGGAGTTCCTCCGGTACAAAGAAGTGAACTCCTGTCTCGGGGAGAACCTGTCCATCAGCAGCCGCTACACCGACCTGACCATCGCCAGGAAGCCTCGGAGCAAGCGTGGAGGTGAGCATGAAGCTGTGGGCGCCAGCCGTGGATGTGCCGACGCCGGCAACAGACCAGCCACCGTCACCGTCACCGCACAGACGCTGTTTAAACCCGACAGAGACGGGCAAACGCCACAGGTTGTGGTGCTGGTGGGGGCCCCGGGGATGGGGAAGACGATGACGGTCAGGAAGGTGATGGTAGAGTGGGTGGAAGGGACCCTCTACACGCAGTTTGACTACGTCTTCTGCATAGACTGTAAAGACATTGCCTTTACCAAGGAAGCGAGCGTGGCAGACCTGGTTTCAAAGTGCTGCCCTCACAGGCGAACGCCGGCTGGGAAGATCCTGGATGACCAGAAGAAGATCCTGTTCATTTTTGATGGCTTCGAGGCCCTGGGATTTTCCTTGGTTCAGCCTGAAGTTGAGCTGAGCTCTGACCCCAGGGAAGTGAAGCCTCTGGAAACCACCCTGATGAGCTTGTTGAAGAAGGCTGTCCTGCCCGAGTCCTCCTTGCTCATCACCACGAGGCCGATGGCTCTTCAAAGCCTGGGGCAGTGCCTGGAGGGTGAGTATTACGCAGAAATACTGGGATTTTCGGCAGCCATGAGGGAGGAATATTTCCACAGGTATTTTGAGAACGACAATAAAGCCGACGTGGCCTTCAGGTTTGCCAGAGGCAACAAGATCCTCTACAGCTTGTGCGTCATCCCCGTCATGAGCTGGACTGTCTGCACCATCCTTGAACAAGAGCTTTACAAGAAGAAAAACCTCGTTGAGTGCTCTAAAGCCACCACCTGGATGAGCGTGTTTTACCTCTCCCGGTTAATGAAGTGCAGAGGCAGGGACAACCCGCAGGACCTCCAGCGGTTCCTGCGCAAGCTCTGCTCCTTGGCTGCCGATGGCGTCTGGAAGCACAAGGTCCTCTTTGAGGAGAAGGAAATCAAGGACCGTGGCTTGGACCAGCCAGACCTTCTCCCCCTCTTCCTCAATGAGGAGATCTCAAAGAAAGGTGTAGACCGTGAGAACATCTACAGCTTCACTCACCTGCACCTCCAGGAGTTTTTTGCGGCGATGTTTTACGTTCTGGAGGACGATGAGGAAATGGTCGGCGACTCGGGGGCTCTCGCAAAGGACGTAAATATGTTATTAGAAAGTTATAGCAAGTCCAGGAAGGATTTGAACTTAACAGTGCGGTTCCTGTTTGGTCTGATAAGCCAAAAATCGATAGAGTACGTGGACAAAATCATCGGGTGCAGAATTTCACCGCAAGCCAGGGAAGATATGCTGAGGTGGCTTCAGGGGAGGCACAGAGGCATCTCCCATCCCAGCCAAGCGCTGAAGGTTTCGGAGTTGGACACTTTCCACTTTTTGTTCGAGATGAACGAGAAAAGCTTCGCGCAGAGCGCGTTGGGTCATTTCACCGACGTAGACTTGCAGGACATCAAGCTGACCCTGTACGACCAAATGGCTCTTTCCTTCTGCATCAGGCAGTGGGCCGGGCTGGGCTGCGTCACCCTCCGGGGATGCTCCTTCCGCCAGCAGGATCCCGGGAAGGAGCTGGCCGCGTCGGTGCCTCGGTAAGTACTGCCCCTCTCTGCTCTAGCGACCCGAAATCGCGAAGAATTCTCCTTCTCTGCCCCAAAGGATGGTTTTAAAGGCGTTTCAGCTCCTTCCACCCAAAGACCAGCTTGTCCTTTCACTGGGGGGGTTTAATTCCTCAGCGGAGGATTTTACTTTGTCTTGGGGAGAATTGTGGGAGAATAAGGATCACGCGGGATCCTCCGTCCGCTGCATGCGGTGGGATTGATGGAGATGGAGCGTCTCGGCTCAACTTCCCCAGCCTGAAGAGGCCCATCTGCGCCCCGGGTGTCAGTTTGGCTTCACGTCCCCCTTCTTGCACGCAAAGGGGGGATCCCCGGTGCTGAAATTTTAAGTGTGCCCCGAGCTTTTCCTGAGAGCAGGTAGCTCCAGCAGTAATGCTCGTGATCCTTTGCATCTCCAAAGCCATGGAGGTCCCAC